GAAGTTATTTATCTATCGTGCACGTATCTAATTTAGAGCAAGATGTTTCCTTTTGGGGGGGGGAAAATTTCCTTTGTATTTTTTTTTTTTTCTACTAGGCTGAAAGATGATATCTGTACTTGCTGGCTGGCCGGGAGAGAGCGGGGGGGGGGCGTACTCTTATGTTTTGCATGCGTGAGCGGTTAGACCATTCATTGACCACGCGTCCTCTAGAGGACGGAGCATCGCGAAAAAAGAATCGGCCCACACGGAGATTCGAACTCCGGACCTCGACAACCCGAATGTCGAATCATACCACTAGACCATGTGGGCTAACTGATGAGGGAGGGGAGAGGCAGCGTCCCTATGTATCGAATTCGTACTGCTGGCATTGTTGGTGCTTGTTCTGACACAGACAGGCCGCGAGAGCGACGGCGGCGGGTTAGCTGTGTGACTTAAACGATTTTTGCTTGTCTTGTCGTGTATTTCGTTATTCTCGATTTTTTTTTTTGTGGTTGGCTATCGTCGTCGTCGTTTGGTTGTGTCTGTCTCGTTTTTCCTGTTCAACTTCTACCGGAGCCTATTTTCAATACGCACGCGGAGAAACGTGACGTCAATAACAAGCAATAATTGGATATAAACAATCGGTTTCTTCATGAACGCGTCATATTTAGTGGGAAGTAACGTTCGAGACGAAGCACGCACAAGAAAGGGGTTCTGCTTCGATTGATAGCAATTCCAACACAGACAAACGTCGATCCGAACACCCTTCTCCGGTCGTCCTAATGTCATTTCCCGCCCCCTTTTTTCTTTGCTTTTTGTCAAGAATCGGTTCAAAATGTACTGCAGGCAATAAAATAGTCAATACATCCGTCTGCTCCTACATGAAGATTTTCGTACGGTACACTGACGCCATTTTGTTCTGGTGTGGTGCGGTCTGACTACTACGGTCATGTATGTATGTATCTATCAAACTAACTAACAAGCACCTTACCTTTCGCCGTTTCTTCGTACTCTTTTGCCGTCGTTATCTGGCGAGAGCAGCAGGAGAGCCACGGGAGTCACTGGCCTCCTGGCGGCCCTGCGGAAGCGAAGCGCGGACGTGATGCAGCCCCCTGCCAAGCACAACGAGCTCCTGCGGTGAGATTGCCTCATTTTCCTTCTGCTTGGGTCATTTATTTATTTTTTTAGCAATTATGTATGTCGTCCATTAACTTTCTTGTTACACGTCCTCCTGGGTGGTGGATAGCACCAGTACATAAGTGTTGGTTGCTGGCAAATAGTACACCCCAGCGACAATGTTCTTCTACCAGTATCATCGTTGAAATTTGATGATAAATACGTATACGTGTGCATACACAAGCGTAAATCAAAACGGGATGGGGGGGGCGGTGGGCCCGTGGACGAGCGGGCGGGATTGCGGTGCGATGTTTGTTCAATCTGCACGCGTGGCGAATATCACACATTGAAATGGAGCACATTCAATAAATTGCTGTTGTTTTTGTTGTGTTTAAGGAGATGACCGATGCCATTGCCTTCATGTTTGTCTCCACCATCGAACCTAAGAACACATACGTACAAACATCGCAATACCATATGGTACATACGTACATACATGCACGCATACACGTACCGAAAACATGCATTTAAGCCCCCTTCTGGGACGGTTCGCGCTGCTCTCTCTCACGACAAAAAAAAACGAAAAAAACGCGCGTGCAAACGAAAACAGCACCATCTACGGCACTCTGCGCCGACGCGAGCCCAACGGCTGCGACGAGAAGGAGCTGGTGGGCAGGGTCTTCCACTCCTCCATGTCAGCCTCGGTGGAACGGAGGGGGGGGGGGGGAGACGCGAATGCCGGCACCCCGGCCGGCGTTTCGGTAGCAGGAGGAGGGGGGGGAGGCAACACGGGCGATGCTCCCGAGAGTCACCGTTTTTCTAAGACCAAGGTCCGGGGTGCGGTGACGCTCCTTAAGTTCGCACAGGTGTGTGTGTGCACATACCTGTGTGTGTGTGTTTTTTTTTCTTGATATGCTGCCACTAGACCGCCGGGGCGAGGCCGGTCAGTACCTTCAAACAGAAGTAGTTAATCGCTAACTGGCTGACCAATGAAAAGAAGACGTCGGTCAGTCTTGTAGCGGGTTGTTAAACACGAACGGTTCGTGTGTGAATGTTTATTGCTAGCATCGACCGCGCCAACTAACCGACTGCCTCAAGGACTACGAAAGAAAGCGGTGTGTGAGTGTGTGTGTCCGGTCGCTTCGGGTGTTTCGTCTTTTTTCTTTCGTCGATCCGTAGCGCGGTGTTTTCTCCTCAGCGAAGACGCGTTGGTTGTGTATGTGCTTTCTGTGTATTCGTTAATCGCTATTCTTTCTTCTCCTTTGCTTCTTGTTTTTTTTTCTGTTGGGTTGGGTTTCCTTACCGACCGCCCTTCTTCTAATTTTCATCGGAGATCCTCCCCTTCTTGCAGATCCCGGCCTTCGAACAGTGCTCCTCTTTATGCATGTGTGGTATCTCTTGCTATTTTTTTTTTCATGTACGGTGCTCCTCCTCATGCTCTCTCTCTCTCGTGATTGTGTTTCATGTACGGAAGGCGGTGCGGGTCGGGCGGGGCGATACCGCGGGACAGCACGTTCTCTACGTGGCCTACGAGCTGCCGACCTTCAGCGACTTCATGGCGAGGCACAACAGCCACCTCGTCGACATGGGTAAGAGAGAGAGAGAGAGATGCCGCAATTTATTGTGTTGTCTGTTGAGAGATACCGGTTCGAAATAGCCACCAGTTGTTGTCGACATGATTGAGAGTTTTGCACGTTGCTGTTGTTGTATTCTTTGTGGTGGAAGATGGTTATTGTCTGCTTTCCAGCCTGTCGTTGTTGCGTTCCACAACGACGTCGTCCGCGTCTCCTTCGCGAGAAGCATTAAGCTGTTCTTGTCCCTCCCGCGCCCCCCGGGATAAGTTGCTCATCCACCCGTGGTGCTGACGGGTCGGTCTCTTTCGTCATTGCCACCGGTGGATGGGCCCTTGAGGATGGACGGATTCTACCAATTGTTGTTGTTGTCGTCTTCACACTTATTTAAAAACCGTTCCGTTCTCTCTACCCAGTACCGTCATCTGTCCGTACTAGTCCAACACTTGACGCGGTCGATCCCCGTGGTCACAGGCTAATATATCCAAAAAAGGTATACCAATTGGATGGGGGAAAATAATCTCACATTAATCATGTTCTACCGGACGGAGCAGCCGCTCGTGCTTGGCGACGGGGCGTTACGTACTTGGTCAAGAACGTTCCTAAGAACGTTTCTAGTGTCTGGCGTACTCTCGACTTGTCCTGTCGCAACCAACGCCGCACACACATAATTCAGCGGTGGCAGGTCGTTGTGACACCGAGTCGCTGCCATTTTTCTTCCTAGTTCTTGGAGTGCCTGCCGGTCGGGCACGCATGCAGCAGTTTCGGATCGTCGAAAGCGGCAAGAATAAAAGGCTGTGTTGTAAAATGTACAGCCTTTCCCCCTTTCTCTCTCTCTCTTCCGACCAAGTGCTGTATCCCGCAACTCCGCCGTACTTGAGGGGACGAAGGAAATGCCACACACACACACACAGAGAGAGACTAGACCCCCGTCACCGTAACCCCTAAACCAATCCCTAACCTAGTATGACCCGGAGTGAACTGTTGCGGCTCTGCTCTAGTTACTCTCAGATCAGGCAGTCTAGTTACTCTCAGATCAAGCAATATTGTAGTAGGGCAAAATTACCACCCTCCGCAGAATGTTCACGACGGAAAATAGGTCATCTTAGAGCTCCAACGTTGCCGCCGGGAAATGAGTGGCACCTCCTCCTCGTATCACGCCCAGTAGCGGTAGCCCGTTCGCCTTAGCACCCGTGCATATGTCCTTGCGCCCGCTGTGTCAGCGCAAGAGCTAGCCTTTACTCTTAGCACCCGTGCACATGTCCTTGGGCGCGATGTTGCAGCACGAGAGCTTGGGGTGGACATGACGGCGATGGACTGGAAGAGCCTCCTGGAGACGGAGCAGAACTCGGGCGGGGGAGGGGGGCGCCCGATTCCGTCACCGAGCCCTACCGACCAATCAGAGGTGAGCTCACCCCACTACACTACAGAGGACCTACCTTGCCTTCCACATGAGGACAATCATGTTGACGCACCACCATCTGCGAGATGTTTGGTCTTGTGTGTGCTGACCATGGCGAGGGAGAAAGCGCTTGACGGTCCACCGGTGGCTGGGATCACTGCTCTTGGCGTTGTTTCTTACGTCTCGTGCACGTCGATCATCTAAGGGTGCCACCAGCCTGCCCCAGACGATCCTACCCCGTCCGTACCCTCCGCGCCTTGCAGGTCAATGCTCACGTGGCCTCCTGCCTAGATCAGACGGCGCAAGCACCCGGGTTTGACTCTCCCCCTCGACAAACCTCTGCTTACCAGGCGGTTCATCACCACACGCTCTTTGTTCGTTTTCCATTCGCCGTCCTATCGCGTACCTCCCCCTCCGCAGAGCTCCGCCTCAGCCGGAAGCCCCGCTGCCGGCGGCGGTGATGCTCCGCGTTTGGTGCGGGTTACGGGTTCGCCGAATGGCGCGCACCGGCGCCCTTCTCCGTGCCCCAAGCCGCCTTCGTCCCAGCAGCAACAGCAGCAGCAGCAGCAGCAGCGGTTTGTGCACGGAGCCCCGTTGCCGTCTCCGCCCTCCAAGCAGGGAACACCGCAGTCTCCTGCTGGGCAGAACGGGGTAAGATGAGTTGAGGGCGGTTGGTGTGTGTATGGCGTGCGCGTGCGAGAGAGAGAGAGGAAGAGGCAGAGGCAGAGACAAGAAGAGACTTGGTGTGTATCACAGACAAAGAGGCCTCCTTGCAGCTAGCTGTAAAAGCGCACGCCGTGCCAAGTGTGTACAGTGCGGGGGTGGGTGCGGTACGTCTGAAGAAGGGACGTGCGCAACAGAACAGAACGGCCCCCCTCTCCCCTTTCCGACACGAAAAAGTGTGTTTTGCCACGGCATCGGCGCAATAGTTTTTCAGTAGAATCTTCGAAAACAATCGCACAACCTACAGCAACACATGGCGCGATTTTAGTAGTTGCACTCAACCTTTCCTTCCTGTTGCGAAGCGAGTGCAAGGAATGTTGTTCGAACCTACACATTCACCTTGCAAAGGTAAGTCGGAAAACGAAGATCGGGCCTATATCAAAATGTGCACTCGAAAGCCTGTCGATCAAGGTCCTCTCCATGGGTGACCTGATCATTGCACCCCCCCCCCCACGCCGCGACGTAACGTGTTCGCGAGCCATTGCCCCCGAAACACTGGAAAACGGGAAAGCTCCCCACGTCTTGTCTAACTCTTCGACTTTCTCCTTGATGCCTCGTATGGTTGCCGCGGTCTACTGGTTCGTGTGCCTGTTTGCTTTCGACCCAACAGCACGGCTGCCGTAGCCTATCTTCGAGCCCTACCGTGCAGTCTTCGCCCCAGGACAACGAGCAGCAGTTCGCCCCCCGGGCTTCGTCGGAGCACGCCCTCTGGCACGGCGGCCAGCTCCTGCAGCTTCAGCCCACGCACCCCCGGCCACCGCAGCAACACCACCACCACCACCACCACCACCACCAGGCGGGGATTCAGCAGTATATCCAGCAGCTCCCTTCACCGCAGCAGCAGCTGTCCCAGCCGCCGCCTCCGCCGCCGCCGTCTTCAGCCGCCGTTGGCGGCGTCTGGGGGCAGCAGGTCGCCGGCCCACAAGGGCTCCCCCCTAGGGGGCTCCAAGGTGTCGGCCCCCCTCAGGCCGGCCTCGTCTCGCCGGCAGCACCGTCCCCGACGGCGATGAAGCAAGGGCAGGAGCAGACGCTGCTAAGCAGGCCGCTGCCTCCGCCCCCGCCGCCCGCGATGGTTTCCGCCCAAGTTGGGGGGGTGGGGGGGTACGGGATGGTCCTTCCACTCCGCGGATCCCCGCTCGACGGGTTTCCGAGCGGCGGCGGTCGAGGGTCTTGCAGCCCTCTCGGGTACGGCCTCGGCGGAAACGGGGGGAACTTGACGCCGTCACCCCAGCGGCAACAGCAGCAGCAGCAGCTTCATCTGCCTGTGCTCGCGCCGCATGCCGCTGTCGCTGCTGTGCAGCCTCATCAAGTCTACGGCTTTGGCCACGTCCAGCAGGGGACTGTTGCTGTCGGCGGCGGCCAGGTTCACCACCGAAGCAGCCATGCGGGACTGAGCTGGGCGCCGGGGCTAGTCGGGCAAGGGCCCCACGGCGGCGGTGGAGGCGGCGGGGCTTCGCGACAGATGACCATGGGAGAAGCGGCGGCGGCCACGGCGGCGGCAAGGGCGGGGGCGGAGGGTGTGACGGAACCGCCGCCTCCGCTTCCTTCTTCTCTCGGTCAACGCGAGAGCGGGGAGCAGGTCCCAGCGGGAACATCGTCGTCGGCGCAGAGCCTCCCCGGCGATGTCAGTGGACCGGCCGGCGGTGTCGGCGGCGGGGGTGCTTCTTTCTCCGGCGCCCCTTCGGCGGGGGGTATGATGCAGGCTCCGGTTCCGGTCGCACTTGAGCTCAGGAGGCAGTCCTCGCTGCCCCCGCTTTTGGGGTCGTCGCCCCGGCCAGCCTTCACCGGCGCAGGGACTAGGATGGCGCACACGCCGCCCGCGATCACTTCCGGTAGGCTGGGCTTTCCTCCAAGCGGCGGAGGAGAGAAGGGAAGTGACCCGCGGGCCACCTCGGATGCCACCGGGGCTGATGCAGCGGCGGCGGCGGCGGCGGTGGCCGCTGGCGGGGGTGCTGCAGAGGCCTGGGAGCGGGAGAGGTCGCGGTTTGGCGTGAGGGGGAACAGGCCTTCCCCGGTGGAGTCGAGGATCGCCGCTGTGGCTATTGCCGCTCATAACGCGGCGGCGGCGGCGGCGGCGGCGGCGGCGGCAGCGGTGGAAGCGACGGAGGAGAACAAGAACGGCGATTCGGCGGCGGCTGTTGGCCCTGGCGCCGTCCCCCGTGACAATTCGTCTCCTCCTGAGCCGGCGGTGGCGACGACAGGCTCGACCGCACCCGCTGTAGCGGCGGCCGCGGCGGCGCCCGGTTTCGCGGAATCCGCCGCCAAGGGGACGGCGGAGCTGTCGGCGAGGCACCCCTACGCCACGGACGACGGGGGAGATGCGCTGGACGTCGGGTTGGGAGAGCTGTCGCTGGAAGAGGTGGGGGGGGGTGGTGACGCGGCTGCTCTGCCGGGGCTGAACGAGATCGCCTCCAACAGCCGCAGGTGAATTTTTTATTGTGTGTTCACACCGAACGCTATACGTGCGGGAGTGTTTTGCCGCACGCCCGCGCTGATGGCCATCGTGGTATGGCCGGGATTGACAAAATCGTGTTCCGCTAGGGCTTATTAGCCTGGTGGTTGGCGTGCCTCGATGGAGGTGGGGTGAGGTGCACGATGCCGGTGCCGTATGTAGGAAGCCGCGCCCCTTGTCTGACGTGTCGAGACGTTGGTCTTTGCGCCCCCCATGCCATTTTTGTTTTCACCGTGCTACATTGGTTCAAGCGCTCAAAATTTTCTGCGCTGCCAACGTCGGTGAATACCGCTTCCTTCTGGAGACACCGCTTCCAGTAACACTCGATTCGCATGTACTTGTGTCAAGCGTGTCTGGTAAAGTGGCGTACGTCGTACGCAGAAAGATGAATCCAGGAAAAAACGTGCAAAAAATGGTCCCATTTTCATGCCAACCGTCTTCGCACCCGCCCCGTCGCCACGCCGCCGCTGCCCAACCTCTCATGTACCATAGGTACAAAATGTTCTGAGCGTGCCCATTCAGGCAGAGGAAGTGGGAGGGGGGGGTGACGGTGTACCGGGTTTCGTTTTGGGACATACGGGAGGAGAAGCGTGGCTCGGCCCCGTAAATTGGTGGCGGGAGGCAGTACTAGATACCCCCGCCTCCACAGACAGCCTGTATATTCACGAAGCTGATCTGGTTCTCCCTGTGCTGGGCGTGGTTCCGTGTGATGGAGGAGGGGTAGGGTGGCCGGTGGAATGATGAAAGAAAAGGTGCGCTACACGTACAAATCAGTACCATTGTTTTCGTACCAGTGCAAAGTGCATAGCAACAAGCATCTGTGTGGACAATATGTAACAACACAACATCCGATCACCAAAATAGGTACGATACGGGAGTGGTGTTGCGGTGTTTGACGGGAGTGAGCTCTGGCGTGGTGGTGAGTTATTTTCGGGCGGAGACGGAGACGGGCTCGACTGTGGATGGTGGTGTGACAGGGGCGTGATGATGAAAATCGGCGCAAATGATTCGGTGACGTGTACGATATGATCAAAACGATAGGGCGGGGGGAGGGAAGGGGGGGACGGCGTACACTGAGGTAGAATCCGAATCGCGGACGGAACGAGGAGGAGGAGGAGGAGGAGGAGGAGGCGAGGAAAAAAGGCAGAGGTGGAAGGGCGAATCAGTTTGGCGGACTAAGCGCGCCCTCAGCTTCGCTTCTGCTCTGGGGTGAGGGCGGGCGGATGGTGGCCAAGGAGGTGAATGAGAAAGGAGAGAACGGCCTAGAGCCCGCATGCACAACAGTATGCGGTGCATCTACGGGGGAGGAGGACTGCGGGGGATTTATCGAGGCAGACGGCGGCACGGATAAAGGCACCCGCCGCCGGTGTCCAAGGCTTTCCGCATGGAGGACCAGCACACCGGGGGCTGGGTGGTGACTTGAAGAAGCGGGCGAGCCGAAACCATGTCGAAACGACGTCGACCATCATGCATCATGGTGAACGAGTACTATGGACGGGAGCGGCGAGGGGGCAACACCGCAGTTGCGCTCGAGAGTTCGGGGGAAGGGCGGGAGAGAGGGGGGCGGGGTGGAGCGGCTGGAGCGACGATGATCGTAGCTCTACATGGCTGCTCTGCTGGCGCTTCCACTACTGCCCTCCCATTGCTAACGCGCCAAGTTAGCCGCCATTTGCGTCGTAGCGCGGGTGAGCTTGCAGCAGAGCAAGAAATTCTGCGTCTGGAGCGTCGACCGCACTCAGCAGTTGATGGCAAAAAAAATAAAAGAAAATCGACGAGGTCGTTCTTGGGAGCTGCGAGGACTGTTGGGAGGGGAGCAGGGGGGTGCAAGGAAAGGAGAGAGGGGGCGACAAACGGCCGGCTTTGACGGTGGCGGCGGAACACACCTCCTCTTTACGGCGCGGCGGCAGCACCAGAAGCAAAAGCACCCCCCCCGGGTGTCGTATGGACACGTCCTCCACCGCGCGGTGGGGGCGAGGCAAGTACGCAGCATGAGGGGATCAAACGCGTGGCTAGCTTGAAGAGAGAGAGAGAGAGAGATGAACCACCACCTGACGAAAGCGGACCGCCATCGGAGGGGCCGACTCGACCCTTCGGGGGTGCGCTCCTCCGCCGTTTGCGCGGCGGCGGCGGCGGCGGTACATGCACCGCTCGGTCCCGTCGTTCGTTTCCCATCTCTTACATGAAAATTGTTTGTTTCGGTTGTTTGGGCGCACGGTTTCGCCTGTTCGCTGATGATCTGGGCCCGCGGGGGAGCACTTTTGTTGCCGCCGGGTTCTGTTGTGGTTTTTAGTTGTAAAGTGATGAGCACCGGTTTTCCTGGTTTCGAGAAGAGCCTGGAGCCGGGCGGACGGCGCAATACGCGCCCCACATCCTCGAGCGCGCGTTCATATCCGAACGGGCGGTTCTACACGAGGGTGGGAGGGAAGGGAGGGGGGGGAGGAAAGAGAGGAGGGGGGGGGGGGGTTCCCAAACTCACGGAGAGGCGG